ATGTGTTCTCACATCCAAGGCCGCAGTTGGTGGCAGCTAAAACTTATAAAATCTAATCAAGACAGACTAATAAATGGCTTAATTGATATAAGTAAACAGCGGTCAAGGGCGGTTAAAAGATATAGCTTTAAATTTATAAAATATTGGTCTTAAATTAAGCATTCGTTAAAACGTAAATGAGACAAGCATCGTAAATTTCTATTTAAGAGCTCTCATGCCAAAAAAGTTTTGACGTTGGCTCCGCCCAAATTTGTGAAACAAATATATGCCTGAAGTTCGCGTGACATGCGACAGGGGATGTTGAATTTTGCGCATTAAAAGTACCAAATTCGTTTTAGCGGAATAACTCTAAAACTAAAGGGATTCAAAAAAATCTGTAGTGGCAGTTGTCGATCATGCATAAATATAATTAATTATCTAATTTTTGTCCTAATAACCTGTACCATTTCGAGGATAAATCGAAAAAATTTGAAAATTAGAGGTCATTTCGTGATTTTTATCTATTTTTAACTTTATTGTTTTATGTTTCTGATTAATGTCTATGCTTGAATATATCCTGCAGATACTCAGACAATATTTTATTTTCAACTTTAAAGTGGATGTAACCCTCTAAAATCAAATCGAAGATTAGGAATTTTTCTTCTGCTTCCTCTTAATTTAATTCAAAATTAGCCTTGAAAATACAGAAGCTTTTGCGCAAAAATGGTTATACCTGCATGGGATATATTTAGTTTCGTGTTTTTACGTAATGTACAACTATTGGAAATTAGTGTTCATAGTTTTTTTATCTATAGAGTGTATAGTGTTGTATGTATAATGTACAATTTGTTTAGATAAATGTTTATAAAAAAATACTTTTTCCGCCAATGCACCATTGTGCGCGGCATTAAAAAAATTATGACCAAGGAACCTGTAAATGACATCCAAGACCTATAATCATAAGAAAAGAAAAATATTTTGAATAAGAGACGTCGAAAACTGAAAACCAAGTAGATAATTTTGAAAATAAACTGATTAAAAAGATTATACAATAAATTAAATAAATTAAAACTTATTTGGAAAAAAAATTACGACTTCTTTTCGTAACCAGTAGGGTTAGTACAATCAAGCGCGCCTTGCGCGAGAGCGACAGCGCAATTTATGCGTAATTTATAATAGCAGTATCTCGCGTTTTAAATCGCTCTCGCGCTAGCGTGCTAGCCCTGCTGGTCGTGATAGTATTTAAAAATAGTACGCGTCGAACGTAAAAATTGGAAATCACACAGTACTCATCCTATGTGTAATGGACTTAATTAATATTACCTTCAAAAACGTATAACCAAAATAAAGAGTACCTATAGCTACTATATATACTACCCAGTCGTTTAAGTGCACCCGGTTTGCACGTCTGCAACAAGTACAAACGGCAATTGTACAAATTCGACGACAGCCGAAACACGAAGATTACCGAGAGGTATTAAAAAAACTGTTTAATATCAGCACACGCATAATATTGTTGTTTATCCACTCAGCAGGGCTAGCACGGGCGCGACTTATACGAGAGCGACATAAAGCACGGGATCTCTATGCGAGTATAGCAGTATCTCGCACTTTATGTCGCTCTCGCGAAAGTTGTGCCTTGTAGTCTTACAGGTCAAGCTATCGAGTTGAAATTCTCCTACGTGTTTTTGTTATAGATCTTTGTACTGGTTTTCGGCTTTCGGCGCCGTTAGTGACATCTAGTGAGTGATTCTAGAACCTTCTCATCGCAGCCGATACCTTTACAGGGCCTGAAGCTAATTTTGATGTCGCTTATTGATCAAATTTATTATTGTTATTTTTTGTGAAATAACTACACTAGTTTTGTTAAGATTATAAATACAAAAATCGAAGACATAGACACCTGATGGGATTTGAACCCATGACCACGCTGTACCGTAGCGTACATGTCCCATCGAGTCGACGAAATTTTTCTGTGTTCGATCTTTGTATTAATAATACTAATAAGTATTTTCACACCTTTTTATTCTCCCGACGTTTTGGCCAAGGTTGAACTTGCCGTGGTCACGGGCTGACTCAGCCAGTCAGCCCAGTCTGTTCGTAATCACGGCCGGTGCAACCGTGTTTAAAGGCGTTTATTCCTGTTTGCAAATGTCAGTACACAATGTAACGAAACGAAAAGTTTAAAAGTGAATGAATGAAATATTCTTTATTGCACATTACTAATGACAATGACGACAGTACAGTAATGTAAGTACCACAGAGTAAGCTAATGTACTAGCGGCGGCCTTATTATCAAGTAGGATTTTTTTTATTATACTAAGCGACGGGACGAATACGCCGTGGGCCTGGTGGTAAGCGACACGCCTGTCCATAACGGTTGCAGTGCCACTCAAACCTCAACTCAAACCAAAGAATATCCTGTAATAAAAGTGTTTTAAATAAATAAATTCCTCCTCAATAAAGAAAAAATATATAAATAATAATATACAGGGTGGAAATTTGTAATGCCACTTGAAAGGAAAGTACGTTAAATACTGGAGATAGAAATTTTTACTTAAAGGAAACATTCCTTTATTTTTAAAAAGAAATAATACTGCATTCAAAGATTTTCGAAAATTGCTAGCCACACGTGGGAATCGAGCCTTTTATTAAATCAATCGATAGGGTCAATTAGAGTTAGAGGATGAAATCTCTCTTACAAACCATAAAATCTGGAGTTATAAATTCAATCGGTCAAGTTAAAGCACTTTTACTCAAAGGTTTATCAGATTACTTGTTAATTATCGTTGACGTCATTTATCCATTATCTTGAAATACTGGATCTCTTAAGAAATTAGTTAAATATTTTATCCGAGGAAGAGCGAAATCGAATAATTCTGCAGCAACATGGCGCTCCAGCCCATAACAGCAGAGTCACTACTGCCTACATTAGTAACCATTTTAATACCTGGATTGGTACACACGGCACAATCAGATGGCCTGCGAGAACACCAGATCTCACCCCTTTAGATTTTTTTATGGGGATATGTTAAAAATCAAATTTACCTTAAATGTAAGTGTAAACGAGTTGAAGGCTGAGGTTCAGAATACGATTTGTAATACAATTCATCACAACACGTTATTAAAAGTTACTCAAAATGAATTCGTTAAAAGATTACATTTGTGTATCCAAGAAATTGGAGCTCATTTCGAGCAACTAATTAGTTAGATTACCATTTTTTTCGTTTTATTAAAATACGTTAAGATTTTATGTAGTTCTTTTAAAAAATAAAGGAATGTTTCCTTTAAGTAAAAATTTCTATCTCCAGTATTCAGAGTACTTTCCCTCCAGGTGGCATTACAAATTTCCACCCGGTATAAAAAAGATTTCAATAAAAGCTGCCACTTTTGAGATCTTTTTTTTTTATAAAAAGTTATAGATTATGTAGTAGCTAAAATTGGTACTAACGTTTATAATTCTCATATCTTATCAATTTGTTTCACTTATCATGGTAAATCAAAATCAAAAAGGTCCCTTATCTTTCTCTCGGTTATCGGTTTCTAGTACTTATCAATATATCGATTGGAGAGTGCCCATAATCTAGAATGTGACTGTGCAATGATTATCGCATCGTATGAATTTTGTATATAGCAAAACAAACACTGAAATATTATTACATTTTACGAATCAAAATGAGAAAAGAACGATCACTACTCAATTGACGGTGAGAGCTTCCCAGTTCATAACGTCGGTGTTTTCTAGAAAGGGCGAAACCGCCACTTCGAAAAATTTTTCAATGGAGCATGTTTTAGTTTTTCACAACTGTTTTAACTGTGACCGTGTTATCCGAACGCTGTATACTTGGACCTTTTCAAGGCGAGAGTGAATAGTCATTATTTAGGCGTGCGTGACGCCGTGAAGTGACCTCATCACTTTCCATCAGGTGAGATGGAGGTGAAATGCGCACATATTTTTGTAAAAAAAGAGTGTTGTCATGGTCTTCGTTTATGGGGTCCATGTTTGCCACTGTGTGAGGGAAGGAAGTAATAAACACAATCGTGGTTAGCTCAGTTTTCCGGGGTTTCCCAAGTTATGCCAATTTTTGAAAAACATTTTCTACTTATACTCACACACACACACACACACACACACACACACACACACACACACACAC